GATTTTAGCCTGAGCAATGGATCCCGAGTGCATGTTCTCAATGTCTGGAGATGACGGTTCTTGGTACAGCCACCTAATGTTAGGTCACTGTGGCTTTAACAGTCTCTTAGAAGACCTTCATCCTGAAGGGGTCTGGAGGGGCTAGAGGCTAAGGCTACACTGTGTGGATACCTCTGCCTTCCCCAGGAAACAGACAGCAAGTCCCTGCAATGTGCAGAGAAGGCTAACATGTACATACATAAGCACACATTACATCCTTTCCAGCTGAGCTACTCAAGGCTGGTGTCTGGAGTGAATGGGTCATGTTAAATGTGCAGAAGTTTCTCAGAATTGACCGCAGGGAGAGGGCGGCTCTCCCCCACAGTGTATTCCAGCCCTGACATCTCTGGTCATTAGGGTAGCTCAGGGGTCCCTAAGTGATAAGTAGATCTTGACTCTCTCCAAACACATCTGTGGGTCTCAGGAACCCTGAAGGAACTGGCAGAGGACCCCATGACTGCAGCATAGAGGGAGGAATGGGGCAGGCTGAGGCCTCCAGGCTGTTTCCTCTATCTCCCCAGAGTGCCCTGCTCCCTTGGCCTGTTTGTTGATTGAATAAATGAATGCATGTGTTAATATTCAGACCCTCACTCCAGGGAATGAGGCAGTCCACTTGAGCAAATTCTTGAGAGGATTGAAGCCCCATCAGTTCACATTAATACCTCTTAAACACTGGGAGACACATTCATTCAGCAGATGATGTTTGTGTGTCAATCACAGGCTCAACACAATCTCAGAGAGTGACTTTCTGGAGACATCCTCTACAAGAACTTAGTCTAACTCTGGAGAGGAGTGGGCATTGTCAGTGAGAAGCCTGTCTCTGGTGCCTCCCCAGGTACCCTGCCTTACTCAAGCAAGCTCAGGCACACAGCTGCAGACCCTGCCTGGGGCAGGTGGCCTCTGAGCAGCCCATCCATAGCCCATCCCTCTGGGCTGTCACAGCAGCCATCTCTTAATTAGCAAAATAAATAGCACGATGATAAATGTCATAATTTACTTAACACATGATCAAAATCATTGCTTTTGCAGACCTCAGGGCAATAAAATGCAATCACGGGGTGATTTATTCCCACCGGCAGGGTGAGTGCAAGGCTTCGTGTCAGTAAGCAGGGCATGACATGGGGCGGGGGAGGGATGGTGGCCAGATGGAGGAGCCTGGGAATTGGGACAGAGCCCACAGGGATGTCCAGCCATTGAAACCACACCCACACCCACATATAGACCCTCAGCCAGGCCCAGGACATCAGACATGCTTCCTTCCAAAACGACCAAGAGCCATAACCTGGTGGTCCCAAAGCATTCAGGGAAGGAATATATATGAGAGGAAACAAGAGAGGCAGCCGCCAAGGCCAATTCTGGACGAGGGATGGGCTTTGAGCCCCATGTGAACACTGAACAGGGCAGGCTCGGCAGCTGCACCCTAGCTTGGCTCTGTCAAAGGAGTCCTGGGGTGGGAGTGCCTCGCCACCAGGGGCAGGAAGTCAAAGGCCATCCCCTGTCGCAGTCTGATCCATGGGTTGCATAGTCATCCTTGTCTGACCCACGTGGGGAAACCTCATGCTAGCCGGGCCTCGATACCCATCTTTTCACTGTATCGTCTGAAACAAGAACCCTGCTCTCAGAAAGGAAGTCAAGATTGCCACAGCCTCCCAAGTGTGGCACAAACAGTAAGTCTGACCTTCACTTCAAGCTGTCCACCAGAAGACCACAGAGTGACTCCCTCTGTTTGCAGGCTCTGCAGAGGACCCAAGCTCAGGAGTGCAGACCGGCCAGACTGGTGCACTCCACTCCTGGGCCACTCTTCAGGGAAGCCAAACAGAACGGACCCTCCTTAGCTTTCATCTGTCATCTCTGCTAAAATGTCACCGCTTGCTCTCTTGCAGCAAATGAGTACCACGTTAATGATCACAAAATTCAATTACTCTGATTCACAGAACTTAATTATGAGGGTGAGAGTGAATAATTACGTATGCAATCTGGGGCCATTCTGAGATTACGCCCCGTGCATGCCTCACACTGCCCCAGACTGACTGGAGTCCCCCAGCCTTCAACAGACTTGCACATTAACACTTTTCTGGTGGCCTCTGCCTCTCTCAGCACTTGCAGAGGCACAGAGGGTTAGTAGCTAGGCCACCTTGTGTAAGTAGCTGGGGAAGTTAACAGAGGCCCCTTTCTCGGGACCCAGGAGAGACTGGGCCCTGGGTCCTGGGGTTTCTTTCTGTCCTGAGCCATGATCAGGGGAAAAGGCATGCAGCCTGAGTAAGTCAGGAAAAGCCAGGAGGGGTACCAGAACTCACGGACTTCACTGAGCTGCCTCTGTACTTCGAGGAGCACAAAGAAACAGTGGAAGGGCCATGAAGAAGTATAGTTCACACACGGGAAAATTAGAGTAAAGATGTGAGGAGAGGAGGTCTCAGTGCTTTCCCCAGGCCCAGAGGCTCCAGCCCGTGGGACTCAACAGAACCCACTTCTGACTTAATCCTTGACTCCAGGAACTGAGAGCTCCCACCTGCCTCCCCGGGAACCTCCTCTTTCCTCCCTGGACAGCAATGGCTTCCACTCCAGTCCTGCCCAGCGGCTCCAAGGATCCAATCCCAAGGGCACAACTAACTGCTTGGCCGTGGAAGGACAAAGCCCAGAAAAGGGTCACAGAAACAGGCGATGGCTGCCTGAACAAGGTTAGATGAGCTAATGCTAGGTGCATCTGCAACAGTTTCAGGGCAGTGCTGGGAGCAGCTACTTCTAAGCACCTCCCTGAAAGTCAGCTGTCAGGGCACTACCATGGGACAAAGCTCTTGGTAGAAATGGGGGGGAGGGGAACGACTCACTCTCAAATACCTCCACACAGAGTAAACAAGACTGCAAAAGCCAGCAAACTCCAAGGCGTGATAGCGACAGCCTGTACCAGGCCTGGCACCCAGGGAGCCACTGTGATACGGGGCATTTCTTTTAAAACCAAAATCAAACAGAAACTTGTATCAGCCGCAGAGCAGACAAGAACAAAGTCACTTCAAGGTCATCCAAAGAACTACCTATTACCAAGGTTTGTTTACCCTCCAAGCATCTAAAAGCTCGCCTACTGATTAAATAGTGAAGATCTTTTAAGTGCGTTAAACAAACACCCTTCAACCGTCTCCAGCACGCCAGCAGGGAAGGTGGAGAGGCTCTCCACAAAGCCACATCCAACTGAGCCCAAAGTACTCAACTGCCATGTTGTTTAAAAACACTCTCCTTGGCCACAAAGCACAGTGTGTGCCCACTAGAAGGGTGGGATTCCTACTCTCCTCTCCTGCCTCACCTGTTTCCCTGACCCAGCCAGTCAGACCCAAAGATGATCTCAACCTTGGTCCCCATCCCCTGCATCTGTTACCTCTGGTGACTGAAGACATGCCAAGTTAGCTACTGAGCTACAGTTCCCACCATACTTGGACTCACCCATCTCCACACCCACTTGGTCAACACAGCTTCTCACCTGGACCCTCCGAGCTCTCTGAAGGACAAGTGAGGGTGGTTCACACTCAGATAAGAGCCTCGGTGCCCTCGACAGTGAACTAAACAAGACCCTGTCTTCTGAGACACCCAGAGGACCAGGCACTCAGCCTCAGTTTTGTGGGGCACATCAACAGCCTATGAATGTGATCTAGCTACCACCAGCAGATGCATCAACTCCCCTGGCTCTCAACACTATCCCTGCAAAAGGCTTTACACATGACAGGACCAAGGGAAATTCGTGGTGCTTGCTGGAGCATCCAGAGTTTCCCAAGGTCTGGAAGAGGAAACTACGCATAAGAGGACATTTCATCAGAGTTTCTAGGCGGCTGTGGAGTCTTAGTGTGCAAACTTTGGAGACTGTAAAATAGCCAGGGAGAAAATGCCAGGCCTGAAGTCTTTCCTTACTCTACAAAGAAAACCAACATCCAGATCTGCTTGAAAACTTTCTCAAGGTTGTCAAGGGTCTGAGAGAGGCAGACAGAGCAGAGGTAGACCCTTGTCCCACCTGACACCAACCCCAGCCCCATGGCTAGGGAATCACTGCAGGCTAGCAGGCTCTCTCCCTGCCCTGGACCATTTGCCCTCCCTGGCACTGACCTCGGTGCAGGCACTTGTGGAGGTTGTGAAACACCAAAAGGAATCTAGATTTGCATTCCTGCTTTCCACCCAGGCAGGCTTCCTGCCAAAACTACCACTGGAAACCAGCCCTGTGGGCCGCAGGAAGGCTGGGGCCTACAGGAAAACGTGCCTTTGTGGCATTCTTACTTCCCATGAGGCCACCCTGACAAGCCCCCTCAAAGCAGGGTTCAGTGTGCCCCCATGGCCTGAGCGGACACCTCAGGATGCTTCTGGTTTGGAGGGACACCTAGCACTCTCTTGCCTAACACACCATCCTTCCCAACCCACCTGCAGGTTAACTCACGTGAGCTCCAGCCCCATAAAGGTCCATGGAGATGTGATAAGGAGGTTTAAATAGGCAAGGCTTCTGCTCCCAAATCTGAGAGTGGATTCCCCTTTAAGGGTGGCCAGGAGTTGTCAATGTGTTAGTTTGTGGAGCTACATGGCCACCAGGCCTGTTTTGTAAGCTGCCTCAACCTGATGGAGACTTCTCAGCATTAAGCTGCTGCTGTTTCTGGAACATTCAACTATCTGGTAATGAGGGTGGGTTAGTACCTCCATCTAGTAGGAGGCCTGAGATGTTTTAAAACATGAGCTCATAAAAGACACATTTCCGGGAAGAGGGTGCCTCAGCCGTCGGGGCTGATGGGCGTCCGAGGGGACTGCAATGTTTTCTGAGTCACGTCATGCGAGCTGCTGGATAAAATAACCCTGGGAAATGTGACATTCGAATGCTCTCTCTCCAACAGACCGAGCCTCCTGCCTGGGGCAGTGGCTGCACCGGCTTTATAAATAGATTGAACACAAGATAAATGGCCACGATCAATCATGCTCAGACTGAGCATACTCACCTCCCATCCAAAGTCGGCCTCCTTCAGTGCGGCCCGGGGCGCCACCACATAGGGGCCAAGCCTCTCCCCAACTTCCATCTTCCGCTTGGCCCAGATCCCCAGACCAGCTCCTGGGATGGAGGACTCTCGCAACTCGAAGTCTGGTGGGATTGGAATGTCTTCAGGAATGTAGACAGGAGCCTCATAGGGCGAGCCCTCCTTAGGAGTGAAGTCCTCGCTGGTGGGGAAGGGGGACGGCGGCCCCATAGGGATGGGGGACAAGATGCTGTCCTCAGTCTCCTCCTCGGCACTCTGGCCGGCCAGCAGGTCTGGGTCGGGTTCATACATATTATTTACAACGTCACCGTCACCTAAAGAGATAATGTAGCATCAGCGTCTATAGGAAGGGACTCCCTGAAGATGTGGCCCTCATGGAACCCAAGGGCACCAGAGGTCCAGCAGAATTCTGACTGCTACCCTTTGCCTGGCAGATACCACCTCTGCACCACCCCAAACCTGGCAGCAGGTATGCAGTGCCAGTGGCCCCAGGGAGGAGACCCCACCAGGCTCCTCCAGGAACCAGCGTGCTACAGGCAGCACAGCCAAGCTCTCCCTCACTGTTCACGTGAGAAGCAGGCGACTTCATCTGTGTAGCCACCTGAGGATGCACTGCCCGGCTCTGCTATGGAGAAGCAGCAACGGTGGCTGTCATAGGGATGGTGACATATTTGCTGTGGGATCATCCCGGTGCTCATCTGTGGCCTCAGAGATTGGGGAACTCGGATGTTTTGAAGGAAATTCAGAATCTGAGTTTTGCTAAAAACTGCCACCCCAGCGTAAAGCTACTCCAGACATCACACAGGGATAGCCAGGTTCTGTCTGGGGTTTCTGCAAGTTCCTGGTGACCTCAAGGCAGATTAGAAATAGATGAGGCCACGGACATGGTACCTGAGCTGCAGGTCACAGGACTGAGCAAAAGGATGAGGGTCCCCAGCTAATCATGGGTTTTCTCTAGGGTCAAAGGTCAACATCAAGACAGAGCCACTTGGAATATAAAAGGAGCAAGCACCTTGGTACACTAAGGCTGTGATGGCATTGGATAGAGAAGGTCTGTGAGGGCAAGGAGGAGATCAGGCAGAAAGGAAAACAATCCCATTCCTGGTGTATACCCCACAGCACCGCAAACAGGGCTTCAAACCGGCAAGGACTCAAGCAGCCAGAGGCCAGACCAGCTCAAGCCCCTAGCAACACAGAGAAGCAAATGATGAGACTGTGCTCCGTCCACACCAGGGTCTATCCACAGGAACACGAAGCTTACCATGCAGACAGACCTCACAATCAAACTGCCCAGAATGCTGGGGGGCGGGGATGTCCTATAGCTATTTTGAAACACCAGCATATTACTACTTAGACGGCCATCTTGCTGTGCCCAGGAATACCTACATTCGTTTTTCCTATCTAACTCTCCAGCTTCTTCCCTTTCCCCGTCCCTCCCACACAGAGGTGTCATGCTGGTCACCCTGACTTGACTATTCCCCAATGCCTACAATGTGTACACACTGTAAACATCACACTGGAGCCTATAAATCCCTTCTCACTCCCCAGTGTAAAGTCACACAGTTCTGTAAAGGCTCACTCGTTTTCCAGTGTGCACACGGGAGGAAACACCACAGTGTCTTATCAATACAAATGATTATTACATGTCCACTAAGATTTGAAAAATACATTACATAAAATGGAAGACAAATACTATGCCTCTACCCAGCATCCAGAAGAGGCAAATCGGTAAAGGTTGGGAGGAGCTGGGGAGTGACTGTTAATGGGTGCTGATTCTCCGATGAGAATGTTCCAGAATTAGAGGTAGAGGTTGGTCACACAACACAGGAAAGTGTGCCAAGTGCCACCAGACTGCGTGCTTCAAATGGTTACTTTTTCTGTACTGAGAATTTGACCTCAGTCAGTGAGGAAAGCCAGAGGTGTGTGGAGGGGGGTGGGTAGGGACCTCACTCACTCATCGCGCTGACCCCTGATCCAGATCTCCCAGATCAGGCCCATCCCGCCACTGGTTCGTTGGCCTTTGGAAGTCACCCAGGAGCCATGTCCCATGCCCCTCGCTGCTCCCTGATGCTGGCTGGTGAAATCAAAGCCTCCAGGGAGACAAGAACTTTCAAGAACAAGAAAAGCGATTTCAGATTCCCTGTGCTGGCTGCAAACAAGCCAGCTGTGGAAGTAACAAAATGTTTTCTTTCAAAAGAAACCAAAGTCTCGGGAAAAATCATGCCGATAACACTTATTTAATTTAGCAGCATTCACAGAAGTAATGACTATGTTTTAAGTGGCCAACGGTTCCTTTTTAATTGGCTGGTGGGATCCTTTCAGGGACTCGGCAACACAAGGCAGCGGAGCTCCTTCCACCCCAAGGCCCGGCGTTGTTTAGGTTTGAAAGAACACCCCCGTAAACCTTCCCATTGCCTGTGTGCGGCAGAAAGGTAAATTAGAAGGGGGGGGGGTAATTAACAAGCCACCTTATTATTCAGAACTGGTAACTGCATAGAGCTCACAAACAAAATCGCACTAGAAGCCCATGTTCCCCATGAAGTGCTTAACTCCTTCAGGTGCTGATGCCTCTGCCTCCCAGAGTGGCCAGGAAGCAGGGCAGGGCATCACTTCAGGAGCTCTGAGGGGTCCAAGTCGGGAAACGTTCCTGTCCAGGGTATGGTCACCTCAGGGCTATTTCTTCTCTTTTTTCAGTTTGAATTCTACTTCCTCAAACCCCTCACCTACTCACAGAAACCAGCACTTTATTAAAGTCCCACTTAACTGGAGGCCCAGCAAACAGCTGGAGAAAAGGCAGTGTTTCCTGCAGATTAGAGGCAGGCCTGTGCTCCAGCCCAGCCTCCTGTGCCCAGGTGGTCACCGAGGTTAGGAGACAGTTTCCTTCTTTGCATTCTGCTGTCCCCTGCACTGGAGAGAGAGAGCTCTTTGTTCGTGAGTGGGCATCGAGGGGGCTGGAGGCCTAATGAGTGTTTTGAAGGAGGATGTGGGAAGGGCTCCCAAGTCCCTGAAGAAACAGTCACCTGCTCTGAGTCTTGGGAGTCTTGGGGGAGCTAGGGATGAGCCTCTCAGGTTTTAGTTGGTGAGGAGTCTTATGTTCAACTTAGATATCAGCCTTCCTTTCTCATGAGCTCCAGGCAAGATGCCCTCTGAGATGGAAGCCCCTCTGCCCAAAGTGAACACTCTGGGTACCTTTTACCTAGCCCCAGGGTAGGTCACTGGAACGGCAGGTACATTCTTCCAGGCCATGTTCTCTTCCAGGTAGAAGAGCAGTGCCAAGGTCGCAGGGACTTTGTGACTGTGTCTCAGAGATTGGATGTCACTGATTGGTCAGAAGGCCTACATTCTTTATCTGAATCTTGCAATGGCTTCATGGTGGAGAGTCTTGGCTGGGGCTGTCATTCATAAAAGTTGGAACGCCTACCAAAATGATAAAAGTGGGGAAGGGAGGGTACAGGGAGCAGCAGGAAGAGAGGATCAGCATGAACCTGACTGGCCCTCGAGCCAAACGGCCCTGAGTCCTAGCCAAGTCTGTTTTTCATGCTAGAAGCACCTGCTCGATGCCCCCAGGGTCTAGCTGAGCTGATTCCTGGTGAACTTAACACCAAGTGCCTCTGAGCATCACACCAGCCAATGTTCAAGTGACCACCATGACCCTGTGGCATGGACTAGACCTCAACTTTTCCCCAGAACCAGGGAAGCATGGGCTGAGAATCCATTTGACCACATCTTTCACCCTGCTCTGGTTTCCACCCAACCTGGTTTTTAGTGTTGGGTCTTTTCTGACATCACACCAGGGGGTTTTCTGGCCCTCTCACCCTGGACACAAGCCACCCAGCATCTCTTCAGAGACCCCACTGAGGAGCAAACATGGATGGGATATTAAGGTCTAGAAAGATAAGAGAGACAGACAGACAGACAGAGAGAGAGAGAGAGAGAGAGAGAGAGAGAGAGAGAGAGAGAGAGAGAGAACAAGAACGAACAGTAGCTGACTGCTGGGACAGTTTGCTAAACAATAGTGTCAACCTGCGGGCGGTGGTGGCACACACCTTTAATCCCAGCACTCGGGAGGCAGAGGCAGGCGGATCTCTGTGAGTTCGAGGCCAGCCTGGTCTACAGAGCATGTTCCAGGACAGGCTCCAAAGCTACACAGAGAAACCCTGTCTCAAAAAACAAAAACACAAAACCAATAGTGTCCACCAGCAGCAGAGGGGCTGCCATGGCATCCCAGCTGGGGCTCTGCATCAGCCATGCCAGTAACATCTGTAACAGGTGATCACTGGCTGTGCTGCCACCCAACAGGCAGATTTAGACCTTCATCAGTGGCCAGAGGGAGCCTGAGGCATTTCCCCACTTGATGTGTATCTGACAATAGTTCCTGTTTTATTGTGAGGCCAGGCTTTAAGGAGAGGGCATCTACCTCAAAGGCCAGAGCAGGCAGGGTGAGGTTGACACTGGCAGGGATGTCAAGGGAAGTGTTTTCTGCCCATCAATCAGGCAATCGGGGGCAGTGTGTGTGTGTGTGTGTGTGTGTGTGTGTGTGTGTGTGTGTACACAACTGTGTGAGCATGTTAGGGCTCTATGTGAGCATGTGTATATGTGAACAGAGATAATGGTGGGGAACCCTGAAAACAGGCCCTTGGGGCCAGCACAGATCCACCCTCCACAGTCCCCTGCCCTCTGCCTGGAGGGTTCTGGAGAAAAAGGGAAAAATGGCAGGATGCCAGAAGCCCCTAACCACATTCCCAGTGAGCACTAGATGGAGGCCCCAAGAAGTCTCTGGGGTACCTGATGGGGCCTGCACACTACTGTGTGTGAACTTCACTGCTGGAGGTGGGACCTCCCCTAACAGCAACTATAGGCCTTAGCTGGCACCTCTCTCAGGAGGCTCAGAACAATCTGCTCAACTCATCTTCCTCTCAGGACACCTCCAATTGCCTATAGGAATATTCTGACTTCATTCTACATCCCTAAAAGCACCACATAGCCTACTCCAGCCCATAGGACACAGGCCCATGTCAGCTGTTCCCAGAAGACACCAGGCTGACACCTGCAAGTCTATTCTCAAAAGCAAAGAAGTCAAGCCAGGTGTCCACTCAGCTCAGCAATGACAACACAGTCATCTCCTGGAAATGGAGGAGGCGGGGGGGGGGGGGGGGATCAGGACAGCAGGGCAGGGCTTTCTGAATAAGAAACAACCTACATCTGGGGTAATCCAGGACAGGTTCAGTAGACATTGATCACTAGGAGGTACAGGGTGTTTGGATCAGGACAAGGTGGCCACTGATGATCTGCATCTTGACTACGGTGGAAACAC